ACATTTCTAACTCTAATTTTATTTTATTTTATTTTATTTAGAAAAGGTAAATTATACTTTTTCATATTAAAGCATGACTCAAATCTTACTTTGGTTATTATTTTATTTTTTAATTTGATCCACAAACCATTCAATTATTCTTAACGTTATCTAATTATTAACAAGGAAAATGTTTGAGGGCCACAATTTTTGTGGTCACAATGGCTCAAAATTACCAAAACGACGTCATTTTAGGTGCAAAACATGCCAAAACGACGTCGTTTTGATAGTTTTAAACCATTGTGACCACAAAAATTGTGACCCTCTAGCATTGTTGTATTAACAAATGTCATGTTAACAAAAATATGACAAGAAATGCCATGTGGAATGGTGAAACATGTGTTTGGAGCGGGTGGAGACGGTGAAACATGAGTTTGGAGTGACAGATAAAGTGTCTGGGACGGACTAGAGGTCGTAGGGAAGTGGTGGCGGGCAATGGCTGTGATTATAATTTTTTTTTTCCTTAAAATATTAATTTTTTATTTTATTTTTTATTATCTCAAAATTTTAATTTATTTTAAAAAATTAAGACCTAAAATAATATAAATTTCTTATTTTGTTATTCTTTTAAATTTATTAAAGTTAATATTTTTGAAGTGTAGAAATTATACTATCAAAAGATAATTTTGAAAAGTTAATATTTTTAAACTGTAATAATTAGAGGACTGCTATTAGCAACTACTTTAATTCTTTGGACCTCCATTTCTTTGAATCACCACTCTAAACCCTAAATTTCAATAAAATTTCTTTTAATACCTCACCTAATACCAAATTTATCTCTATTCATAATATCGTCACACTCAAGTGCACACCAATCTAATTTTGCACACCATTTCCATCATGGTTGAAGACAATCCTTCTCATTCCCTCTCCTATTGAAGAATAACGATGACGATCCCTCTTTTGTTGAAGAACAACGATGATGACGGTCCATCACTTTTATTTATTCAAAATCAGTGAATGACTGTGTCCGTTTTATCAAAACCATTACATCATTGCATCATTGCTATAAAACTGAGTTAAAATCACACCACCAGTCGACCATTCAGTCATCCGACTGATTGACTGCCCAAGGGTTGGTTCAGTACTGTGTTGCCGAACATAAACAATTCTGTCAGCACTGTATTGCCGAACATAAATTATTTTTTTAGTACTGTATTATTGAACAAAAACAATTTCTTCCGCACTATGTTGTCGATTTGTTCAACATTGTGTTGCCAAAGATAAGTAATTGTTTTAGCACTGTGTTGCTGAACAACATTTGTTCAACACTATATAACTTCAAGCTCGATTCACTCTTTTCCATTTCAATTCAATATAACAAATAAAATAACAAACATCTATGCCAATTCAACCACTGATTTCTAGTTCAGGATTAAGGATTGTGATGAAAAGGAATACGTTTAGGGTTTAGGATGGTGATGAAGAGGAATATGTTGGGTTTAAGGATGGTAATGAAGAGGAACGTTGATGTAGAGGAATACGTTGGGTTTAGGTAAGTGAGGAATACGTTTAGCTAGGGGAGGTGGGTTTACAATATTGTAGAGTTGTCTTTATTTGGTAGGTGAGTGTTCTATTAAAGATAATGTTGGGTTTAAGGATGTGATGAAGAGGAACGTTGATGAAAAGGAATATGTTGGGTTGAGGTGGGTGAGGAATACATTTAGGTGGGGGAGGTGGATATACAATATTGTAGAGTTGTTTTTATTTGGTGGGTGCATGTTCTATTAATGATTGTCCTTTAATGTAATTTTACTTCAGGGTACAATTAAGAACTAAAATAATATTAATTTATTATTTTGTTATTCTTTTAAATTTATTAAAATTAATATTTTTGAAGTGTAATAATTGTACTACCAAAAGGTAATTTTGAAAAGTTAATATTTTTGAACTGTAATAATTAGAGGATTGCTATGAGCAACTACTTTAATTTGGACCTCCATTTTTTTGAACCACCACTCTAAACCCTAAATTTCAATAAAATTTCTTTTAATACCCCATTTAATACCAAATTTACTCTTATTCATAATATTATTATACCCAAGTACACATCTACATAATTTTTCACACCCTCTCCATCATGGTTGAAGATGGTCCCTCTCCTGTTGAAGAACAGTGATGGCAATCCCTTTGCTGTTGAAGAATGATGATGACAACCATCACTCTCTTTGATTTATTCAATATCAGATGAGGGTGTTCATTTTATCAAAACCATTGCATCATTGTTGTAAAACTGAGCCAAAATCACACCACTGACCCACCACCTGGTCATCCGACCAGTTAATCGCCCAAGAGTTGGTTGAGCATTGTGTTGTTGAATATAAACAATTTTGTTAGTATTGTGTTGTCGAATATTAATTATTTGTTCAATACTGTGTTGTCGAATATAAATAATTTTTTTAGCATTGTGTAGCCTAACAACATATGTTTAGCACTGTGTAACTTAACCCTCAATTCACTTTTTTCCATTCCAATTCAATATAACAAACAAAATAATAGACATCCATTCCAATTTAGTCACTTTATTTCTAGTTCAGGGTTTAAGATTGTGATGAAAATGAATACGTTTAGGTTTTATGATAGTGATGAAGAGGAATGTTGGGTTTAAGGATGTGATGAAGAGGAACGTTGATGAAAAGGAATATGTTGGGTTGAGGTGGGTGAGGAATACATTTAGGTGGGGGAGGTGGATATACAATATTGTAGAGTTGTTTTTATTTGGTGGGTGCATGTTCTATTAATGATTGTCCTTTAATGTAATTTTACTTCAGGGTACAATTAAGAACTAAAATAATATTAATTTATTATTTTGTTATTCTTTTAAATTTATTAAAATTAATATTTTTGAAGTGTAATAATTGTACTACCAAAAGGTAATTTTGAAAAGTTAATATTTTTGAACTGTAATAATTAGAGGATTGCTATGAGCAACTACTTTAATTTGGACCTCCATTTTTTTGAACCACCACTCTAAACCCTAAATTTCAATAAGATTTCTTTTAATAACCTACTTAATACCAAATTTACTCTTATTCATAATATTATTACACCCAAGTGCACATCTACATAATTTTTCACACCCTTTCCATCATGGTTGAAGATGGTCCCTCTCCTGTTGAAGAACAGTGATGACAATCCCTTCGCTGTTGAAGAATGATGATGACGACCATCTATCTCTTTGATTTATTCAATATCAGACGACGATGTTCATTTTATTAAAACCATTGCATCATTGTTGTAAAATTGAGCCAAAATCACACCACTAGCCCACCACCTGGTCATCCGACCAGTTAATCGCCCAAGAGTTGGTTGAGCATTGTGTTGTTGAATATAAACAATTTTGTTAGTATTGTGTTGTTGAACATTAATTATTTGTTTAGTATTGTGTTGTCAAACATAAACAATTTTTTTAGCATTGTGTAGCGGAACAACATTTGTTTAACACTGTGTAACTTAACCCTCAATTCACTTTTTTCCATTCCAATTCAATATAACAAACAAAATAATAGACATCCATTCCAATTTAGTCACTTTATTTCTAGTTCAGGGTTTAAGATTGTGATGAAAATGAATATGCTTAGGTTTTATAATGGTGATGAAGAGAAATGTTGGGTTTAAGGATGTGATGAAGAGGAACGTTGATGAAAAGGAATATTTTGGGTTTAGGTGGGTGAGGAATACATTTAGGTGGGGGAGATAGATGTAGAATATTGTAAAGTTGTTTTTATTTGATGGGTGCGTGTTCTATTAAAGATTGTCCTTTAATGTAATTTATTTCAAGGTACAATTTTAATTATAAAAAAAAGGAATTAAGAGGTTTAAAAAATTAGATAAGTGCTAATAGCAGCTCTCAATAATTATACTACCAAAAAAGTTGAATTTCTCAAAATGGACTAATATATTGAGGCAGAGGGTGCACATCTTATAACTAAAAAAGAAAAGAAAAAGACAATGGTACATAACTCTACACGTTTTTAGTCATAACTAAAAAAAAAAGAAAAAAAAATTATAACTAAATACCATATGATGCATAATCAAAGATCTCATGAATCCTAACTAAATCATTGTCATAACTAAAGCAAAAAATTAATCATAATTAAAAAAATGACATAACTAGAGATGCATATATTACATATATTTCAAAGAACATGTATAATAGAATTTCCCAAAAGAAAATGAAGACATTTTGATAAATTGAGAGTGTGACTTCCACCTATTTATAATTAGGGATTGTTTAGGGATAATCTAAATAACTGCATTTATTTGATGAGTGCACTTATTTAAATCTCATCACTTTTCTATTTTACTATATATTTTTTTATAAAAAATTTAAAAATACTCTAAATAAACAAATCTCAAACAACTCCCTAATATTTATTTTCTCATTTGACTTGTTATTCCAAAAACGTTTTCACTCATTTGTTAGTAATTTTTTTGTCTCATTTCCACTCATAAGTTATTTTCTCAAAAATAAATGATAATCTAAATAACTGCATTTATTTGATGAGTGTACTTATTTAAATCTCATCACTTTTCTATTTTACTATATATTTTTTTATAAAAAATTTAAAAATACTCTAAATAAACAAATCTCAAACAACTCCCTAATATTTATTTTCTCATTTGAGTTGTTATTCCAAAAACGTTTTCACTCATTTGTTAGTAATTTTTTTTGTCTCATTTCCACTCATAAGTTATTTTCTCAAAAATAAATGGCAAATACATAATTTCAAAACTTTTCCTATAATTCAATATTGTAAATATTTTTTTTAAAAGATTAATGTTATATAAATAGAAAAAAAATTATATATAATAATATAATTGATTGTGCATTTTTTATGTCAAATAATTGATTGTGCATTTTTTATGTCAAAATAAAATAATATAAAAAATAAATTTATTTATAATAATCACATTATCGCATTATTGTCAATTTTTATTTTTTATTTTTTATGAAAGAAATCAAACACAAAACACAAACACAAACACAAACACAGGAAAGCTTCAAATTTTGAAAAGTTCAATTGCGATCAAGATCTCGTCTGCTTTTCTCTACCCAACTCTGTAATTCACTTCTCTCCAATCCAATCCAATCCAATCCTCATTCATGTAGTTGATATATATACATATATATACACATACATAGATCGATCTTCGCAGTAAAATTCATCAATGGCAGGCGCCGCCTCGGCGCTTTTCATTCTTGACATCAAGGGCCGCTGTTTGATCTGGCGCGATTTCCGAGGTGATGTCACCGCTGTTCAGGCCGAGCGTTACTTCTCTAAACTCCTCGACAAAGAGGTAATCTCTCTCTCTCTCTCTCTCTATATATATATATATATATATGATTTGTTTGTTTTTCGAATGATTTTGATTTCAATTCTGTTGATTTGGATCACTGTTGCCATTTGTAAGCCGGATTTTGCTTGATTCTCAAGTCTCCCTGTTAATGTCGGTGTAATTTCGTGATCTGAACTTTATAAACTATGCATAGATTATCATTATTGATGCTTCGATGTGGAATTTCTGTAATTCAATTGCTTTTGAAACTAGTCAATTTGTTTTAGTTCATCGGTAGAAGTAGAAAGGAAGATGTTGGTTGAGTTAACCTCTGGTTGGATCTGCAGTGAGAAATTGGCCGAGTTTCTGGATCTGCAGTGAAGTCTCATGGTTACACAAGTTGCTTAATGTTTGTGGTGTGGTGACTCCGTGAATTTTTGTTAGTTGTGGCATTCAGAAACTTAAATTTCTACAAATACTATAGAAAATTCACGCTTAAATCAATTTACATCACCTATTTTACAATTCCTTTGACATCATTATACAATTTCATCTAATTCAAGTCTTAATTTGAATAAATTACATTGATTTTCGAAAATATTTGTTCTAACACACACACACATGTTTTTTTCTTAAGTGAGTGTTTTATTACTTAAAATATGATATATAAAAATATAAGGTATTACGAAGCTCAATACACATGCTTGTATGCAACACCTTTCCAAAGATGAAACACACACCCTAGCCTACATAAAATAAACTTCTCACTGGCACAACTAGCACACTCCATGGAATTTACAAGAAACACTAAGGACCATCTTCAGCACTATCAGCTCATTGACACATGTACACATCGCAAAAAGTGACAAACTCTGTACATTCTCAAGGCATCCAAACATTGCATCGCATTGGATCCTGCTTACCAAAATGAACTCCAGCTAGCACTGAAGTTCACACCTTTTCGAAAAACAAGTATTATCTTCATGCTTACCAGTTGTTTACTAGTTGTTTGTCCTCCACATCAAAAAAACACATATAAAAATTATTTCTATTTTTGTTTTGATTTTGATTTTTAAATATACTATGTAACAACAACTCAAAGAAATTTTCAATGAAGACTTTAAAATGGTTTTGCAACTACAGAAGGCATGAGAACAGATGTGGGGATACAATAGGTGGTTGGCTCTTGTAATGTTTATCATAAGCATGACGCACCACAACACTCCCTGCAATGAAATCTGTTAGGAAAGGTGTTACATTGTAAGATAAAATACTCGAACCATGAATAGTACAACTCTAACAACCATGGTTCAGACTGGTCTAGTGAGTTTCGCTTTAATCTATATTCTGTCATAGAAATCTTATGGCTTTATAATATCAATCTTCAAATTAAATTGTGGTTAGTTCTCATGTTAATGATTTCGTTGGACTGCCTTAGGGTGATATAGAGTCTCACGGTCCAGTGGGCTATGACAATGGTGTGACCTACATGTTTATACAACACAACAATGTTTTCTTGATGACAGCGTCAAGGCAGAACTGCAATGCTGCCAGCCTTCTTCTCTTTCTGCACCGTGTAGTTGATGTAAGCTCTCTTGAAAGTTCTCGTCCCTTATTTTGTTCTATTGGTTGAGAAATACATCTGCAGTAAGTGTAGGTAATACTTAGATGAATTTTTAATTGTAAGTTTATCTTTATATGCAGGTCTTTAAGCATTATTTTGAAGAGTTTGAGGAGGAATCCCTAAGAGATAATTTTGTGGTAGTGGTAAGAAAAAATGAGTATTTTGCGAATGATGGTCAAACACTTTGTATTGTTGAACTGATGCCATGTGCATTTGGCAGTATGAGCTACTCGACGAAATGATGGACTTTGGTTACCCTCAATATACAGAAGCCAAGATTCTTAGTGAATTTATCAAGACTGATGCTTACAGGATGGAAGTCACACAAAGGCCTCCGATGGCTGTTACAAATGCAGTGTCTTGGCGCAGTGAAGGGATACAATTCAAGAAAAATGAAGTAGGTCCATCTTCTTTACATGCTATTATTAACACATTTAGGCACTTGTTTAATTTTTAAGGTTACTCGTTTCATGTTTAATTAGGTATTCTTGGATGTGGTGGAAAGCGTTAATATATTAGTCAATAGCAATGGACAAATAATCCGTTCAGATGTTGTTGGAGCATTGAAGATGAGGACATATTTGAGGTGCTTGGCTTATCATTTTAATAATCCAGACTTACGTTTAGTTCCTTGAGACAAATGTTATGTTTCTTATTGAATTGAGATCTATCTTTATTCTTGTTTCTGTATCATGATAAGGGTTCATGATGTAGAAGTTTGCAAAATGATCTTAGTATCTTGGTTAAATTAAATCAACATCCCTTGACAAATGGGTAAAACACAATAAGCCCCTAATGTTTGGAAAAATTACATTGACCTCCCCTCTAAAAGTGATGTGAACAGAGTTAATTGGGGATGAAGTTACATTTTTACTCTTAATGTTATATATATAGTCTACTTTAATGTGAAATGACAAACATGGCTTTCATAACTTCATTTCTTTTACTAAATTTCCCTCCCAACCTCTCTTCCACGCCCTTCCGTCCAACCTCTCTCTCTCTCTCTATATATATATATGAGGAATCCAAGAAAACCCATTTACCGAAACACACAAGACTTTGATCACCATTGCTTGTCCATGAAACACAAGACTCACAATCTCAATCACAATCAGAACACATACTCCTCACCATCCCACTGTAAAGCGAAGTCCCACATTGCCTGAGCACTTCTGCCCAAGACCGTGTAACACCCACCTGCAATTTCCTTTAAACTAACCCATTTTATTGGGAATCCAAGGAAACACAAATCACTGAACACATTTCTCCTTCCATACACATCGTCACTGTAGCATTTTACAGTTTTGTCTAGGGTGGAGGGTGTACAGCCTAAACAGAGTAGGTGCTCTATTTTGGAATGTACTACTTAACTGACAGCCGTCCCAAAGCTCATTATTAAAGGCTGGATCTTCATATTATGATTTACTTCTCAGCCATAGTTTGGTTCATCAAATTGCTCAACTATAGGTCATGTGTTAATTTATAGAAAAAGAAAATGAAGACGAAAAGCGGAACTGAACTGAATTTGGCTCTGGGGTGGATTAGAGTTGTGGTGGTGGTGGTTTAAAAACGAAGAGGGGGCTTCAGTGAAGAAGGCGGTGGCCATGGAAGTGGTTGGTGGAAAAGGCAGTGGACATGGCAGCGGAGGGGGTTGCGGTGGTCAGTGGTGGAGGGAGAGATCTCTAGGTTTTGGGATTTATGTGAGTGAAGATTCAATGTCTTAGGCAGGGTCTACAACTGTTAAAGTTGGAAATTTCTCCACAGTCAGCTGGGGTTTGGGGCAACTGTGAGGGTTACAGGAATTTTTTTATCCTCCCGCCTTCCCTTCCATGCATTCATAGTCAGCTTGGCTTACTTATCTTCAAACAATGACCTTTTCTCTTGTTTGATTGTGGTTCCAATAATCATGTATGAATTGTTGGCTGTTGATTATTAGGAAGGGTAATACCAGATTTCTGTTCTTATTCATGGAGTTTATCCTCATGCATGTTCTTCTGATATGTTTTATTCTTAACCAAATCAAACCAAACCAAACCAAACCAAGCCTTAAATACCATTAAATGGGGTTGGCTACATGAATCCTTTTTCTCCGCTCGACTCTATCAACAGCTATTTGGTTAGTCAAATTAAGGAGATTCATATGTTTTTATCTCTTACGGGGTATAAAATAATCATGCTTCATCTCTTGTAGTGGTATGCCAGAGTGCAAGCTTGGCCTAAATGATAGAGTTCTGTTGGAGGCTCAAGGCCGATCAACTAAAGGAAAAGCCATTGATCTGGATGATATCAAATTTCATCAGTAAGTCTTGCCTTTTTAATTTTATTTCTCCATTGGTTCATGCAGTTTGCCATTAATCCGTGTGTGTTTGTGTAGGCATGTATGTGTATCTGTGTTTGTATGCATGTACATACAAATTCATCACTAAGTCTTTATCAGAGTTAAGTTTGTGATTTTCTTACTGCAGCTTTGTGCTATGATTTTTTTAGGTGTGTACGTTTGGCTCGATTTGAGAATGATCGCACAATATCTTTCATACCCCCTGATGGATCATTTGATCTGATGACATATAGACTCAGTACCCAGGTTCACTTCAAGTTATATGCACCATTTCATAGTTTAATGCTGTTTTTGTGCCCTGATCGATTATTTGAATATCTTTTTTGTGGGTGAGGTGGACTCAAATATCGATCTACTAAGCTGCAATATCAAAACCCTTATCATTCTTTTATTTCCCTAAGTTCTCAGCATAAAAGCTTTTCTTGTTTTTTTTATTATTTTAATTTGATGCATTCAGGTGAAACCTCTCATTTGGGTGGAAGCTCAAGTTGAAACGCATTCAAGAAGTCGTGTTGAGATGGTGGTAAAAGCCAGGAGCCAGTTCAAGGAGCGTAGGTATAAATTTTTGTTTATTTGTATGTTCTAGAATCTAACTTTAAGATTTTATTTTCCTTGTATAACTGAATATAGCCTATTGAACCTACACTCTTAAACAATGTCCATCTTGTTAAGCATTTTCTGTAACGTTTGAAATAATATGGAAATGACTCTTTCTCAATTTGGGATTTCAGGAGATGATAGTTATATTTTTATGTTGAGTTTGGATCATGGATTTGGGTAGGAGTTTGGATCATGGATTTGGATAGGGATCTAGAAAGCCAAATGAAAAAGATGAGTGAAATGTGAATGAAATATGTTTCACTCATCTTTTCCTTTTCCTTTTCCCTTTTCCCTTTTCCCTTTTTAAATTCTTACCCAAATCCATGATCCAAAGATGACCTTAATGGACCTCATTTCATTTGCAATGACATTCATTTTAGAGTTGTGCCTTCAAAATGCTATGAACCTTCAAACATAAAATTTACATTTTTATTTTGCTTCATTTAAAAAAAAAAAAAGAAGAAAAAATAGAAGAAAAAGCGTGCTGCCTTGACAAAACCACTTAATTTAGATTGCCCCTCAATATTAATGGGAAGAACCTTATCTGTATTCTGATCTTGCTACCATTTTTTGGTATATGTAGTACTGCAACAAATGTTGAAATTCAGTTGCCTGTGCCATCTGATGCTACAAATCCTAATATTCGGACATCAATGGGATCTGCTACATATGCTCCTGAGAATGATTCATTGTTGTGGAAAATTAAATCTTTTCCCGGTAATAAGGTGGGACTTTTCAGTACAAAGCCCCTTTTACATTGAAATCATTGTCTGCAACAGGCTTCTCTACATGTTCTTAACCTTATTAAAACAAAAACAACATACAGGAATATATGTTAAGGGCAGATTTTAGGCTTCCTAGCATAACTTCTGAAGAAGCAGCTCCTGACAGAAAGGCTCCCATCAGGGTGAAGTTTGAGATACCCTATTTTACGGTCTCGGGAATTCAGGTATGTGTAGCCAAATGGCCATTTGTGACAAGAAATATTCAGTGTGTTTGGTTTTAGTTTTCTAAATTCAGTTTTTTGAAAATTGATTTTTTTGTTTTTAGTGAATATTTTATAATTTTAAGTAATTTTTTTACTTTTTTAGATGTACCTTACTTAGATGTATCCAAATAGTTAAATATTTGTGAAAAAATATTTTAAAAAATTAATAAATACACAAAATACAAAAAAATGTACTGAATTTTTGTTTGGTTTTTTTTTTTTTGTTTGGTATTTTGTGGTATTTAGTATATTTTTAAAGATTTTTGCACAAATTTTATACTTTTTAAGTGTGTTTATGTTAGATGTGTCTAAAAATTAAAAAAAATTAATGAAAATATTAAAAATATTCATTGAAAGCATTAAAATATGAAAAATAAGAAAGTAAAATTTTCTGAAAACTGTTTTCTAAATACCAGAACTAAACAAAGTGTTTGTTTTCTATATTTTGATGCTTAAAATGTAAATAACTTTCACTCACCATGGTGGAAGAGTTTCCCTAATATGCCAACTACACTAACAAGTGATTAAACTGGATTAGGGTGTATTATAATCAAATTTGCATATGGAAATTTGAAACTTTGCAGGTTCGTTATCTAAAAATTATTGAGAAAAGTGGATACCAGGCACTTCCGTGGGTGAGATACATAACAATGGCCGGAGAGTATGAACTAAGACTAATCTGAAAGCCCACCATGTTACCATAGCACAAGGCTTGCAATGCCTCTTGGAAAATTCTCTTCCGCGTAACCTTGGCATATGCGGCACTAGGTCCCTCGTCTTGCTAGTAATCTTCCTTCCAATGCCCTATCAATAAAAAAGGTACTAAGGTTGCGCAAATATTTTACTTATTTCAAATTTTTTGGGGGTTGAAGAAATGATTATTTATGTATTGAATCTCATCAGAACATCCCGGGTTAGTGTCCCAAGAGTAGGAAGTTGGTGTAGAGAAAATGGTGTCTGATTTTGTGCCTTTTTTTTTTATGTTTTTTTTGTTCATCAAACTCAGGAAGATGGACCTGAATATTTGAGCAAATAAATTTGATTCTTTTTCCAATTTGGCAGATTTCAGTGTGGCAAATATTTTACTTATTTCAAATTTTTTGGGGCTTGAAGAAATGATTATTTATGTATTGAATCTCATCAGAACATCCCGGGTTAGTGTCCCAAGAGTAGGAAGTTGGTGTAGAGAAAATGGTGTCTGATTTTATGCCTTTTTTTTTTTGTTCATCAAACTCAGGAAGATGGACCTGAATATTTGAGCAAATAAATTTGATTCTTTTTCCAATTTGACAGATTTCAGTGTGAATGAGATTTTTATAGTCACTGATATTTGTCGAGTTGATTGAAGTTGTTTAATTTTGGTGTTTTACCGTTTAATTCTATTCCATGTCAATGTTCATAATATATTGAATTGAGTCCATTTACACTGGAAACACAACATACTTTCATACTTGTTTAACCTAGGCTTGCTAAGCACTTGCCTTTATTTTGATTCTACAATTTTTTTTTTTTTTATTTTGGGGAAATTACAAAAAAAGCCCCCAGGGTTTAGCACCTTTTTCAAATTAAACCCCAAGTTTCCAATTTTGACAATTTGTACCCCACCATTTCACCCGTGTTTCAATCCGATCCCTCCGTCCATCTCCGTCTTTATTAGTTAACGGAAGACTGATTTGGGCGCCCAAATTGCCCTAATCTTCACGATTTGTGGTTGTGGAATCGTACTCTGATCTTTTGTCCAAACAAACGTGGATTCGATTGGAGAGCAAGAAAAACCTTAGCTTAGCGACACAGACTTGAAGCAAATTGCACTATCGACACTCATGGCAGCTCTTTCACCCGAAATCCCCATTCATCGCGATACTCATCTCTATTTTCACAAATCAAACTTGTTTTTTGTGAAATTAATTTGGTTCAATTTTTGAATCCATTGTGTTTTAAAGGTATTTGCGATCAATAATACATGGAAAATCCATTTCAAATCCTATCAATAAAAAAGGTACTAAGGTTGTGCAAATATTTTACTTATTTCAAATTTTTTGGGGCTTGAAGAAATGATTATTTATGTATTGAATCTCATCAGAACATCCCGGGTTAGTGTCCCAAGGGTAGGAAGTTGGTGTAGAGAAAATGGTGCCTGATTTTAAGCCTTTTTTTTTTTTTTATGTTTTTTTTGTTCATCAAACTCAGGAAGATGGACCTGAATATTCGAGCAAATAAATTTGATTCTTTTTCCAATTTGGCAGATTTCAGTGTGAATGAGATTTTTATAGTCACTGATATTTGTCGAGTTGATTGAAGTTGTTTAATTTTGGTGTTTTACCGTTTAATTCTATTCCATGTCAATGTTCATAATATATTGAATTGAGTCCATTTACACTGGAAACACAACATTCTTTCATACTTGTTTAACCTAGGCTTGCTAAGCACTTACCTTTATTTTGATTCTACAATTTTTTAATTCTGGGGAAATTACAAAAAAAGCCCCCAGGGTTTAGCATCTTTTTCAAATTAAAGTTTCCAATTTTGACAATTTGTACCCCACCATTTCACTTGTGTTTCAATCCGATCTCTCCGTACATCTCTGTCTTTATTAGTTAACGGGAGACTGATTTGGGCATCAAAATTGCCCTAATCTTCACAATTTAGGGCAAAAGACACCCCTCCATTACCCTAAGCTTCACGATTTGTGGTTGTGGGATCGTAATCTGATCTTTTGTCCAAACAAACGTGGATTGGATTGGAGAGCAAGAAAAATCCTAGCTTAGCAACATAGAGACTTGAAGCATATTGCACTATCAACACCCATGGCGGCTCTTTCTCCTGAAATCCCCATTCATCGTGATACTCATCTCTATTTTCACAAATCAAACTTGTTTTTTGTGAAATTGATTTGGTTCAATTTTTGAATCCATTGTGTTTTAAAGGTATTTGCGATCAATAATACATGGAAAATCCATTTCAAGTATTGGCGAAGAGAGTGGATCGGAAGGTTTGTTCGTGAGAATGGAGATGTCGGGGATAGAGAAGGAAGAAAGATGTGAAGCTTTTGGTGGAGTATGACAGTGTGTTGATAAGGGGGAAGGAAGGAAGGAATCAAAATATGAGGACGACACTGGGAGGACTTACAATGCTACAATTGAGCTCTCTTCGAATTCGTTCCAGCCAGAGAAGATCAAGGCTGAGTTTAAGAATAGTTGAGCTCTCCAGTCTCTGTTTCTTGATCTCCATTTCATCTCTCAGAACAAAATTGAAAGGCCCATCTTAACAACTACACTATTAAGAGAGAAAAATATGGCAGAGCTCAATAGAGCTTCCAAAAACAGAGGATTCTATGTAAGAATGAGACAATTACACACCATCACCAAGCATCATGGAAGACAAACAGAGAAGAAGACCCATTGCTACAGATACCTCAAAGGGGTCCTCTAGTTTTCTCTCTCCTCCTTATGCTTCCTCACCTTCTCCCTCATTACCTACCATTTCCCCGCCCACTTCTCTCTCTCAAACCACCATCGTTTCTTTCTCTAAAACCACTTACCCTCTCGTGCCCTGTTCGAGTCTCTCGTGTCCTGTTGAGTCTCTCATCGGAGCTTCCATTCTAGAACTGAAGCCCGGGCTCCGACCACGTCTTCGTCGTTTCTCACAATTTCGGAGCTTGTTTTCACACAACGGTGAGAAATACAGAAGCTAAAATGTGTTTTGGTTGTGTTTTGGAAGTGTTTTTGAAAATCTGATGATTTGTTTTGGGAAGGAGGAGATAGCGATTGAAGATGGAATACCGAAGGTACTGAAGAAGTCAATTATATTGTAGATTAGGGCAATTTTGCCCTAAATCGTGAAGATTAGGGCAATTTTGGTGCCCAAATTAGTCTTCCATTAACTAATAGAAATGGAGATAGACGGGGGGATCGGATTAAAACACGGGTGGAATGGTAGGGTACAAATTGTCAAAATTGGAAACCTGGGGTTTAATTTGAAAAAGGCGCTAAACCCTGGGTTTTTTTTTGTAATTTCCTCTTTTATTTTTTAATTCATACATCGTTTCTAGGGATGTAAATCTAGCCCAGCCCTGCCTGACCTATAGGCCCAAAAATTAGGCTCAAGGGTATTTGGGCCTTGGTGAGCTGGTGGGCCGGGTCTCGGGCCGGCCTGGTGGGCCTGGGTTGGGTCTAGCCTCGGGCTTGGGCAGGCCTAACCAAATTTTTTTATTTTTTTAATTTTTTTCTATCAAAATTTTATTATTTTCTACTAAAAAAAACACTAGGCCTTGGGCCGGGCCTTAAGAGGGCTGATGGGCTAGGCCACAGGCCAAGCCCATCTCGGGTCGCGGGCTATTTTTACACTCCTCATTTCTTAAGCATCATATTTTTACGGTGGTTGTTAGTATTGAAAAATACGTAAAAAAATATTTGAAAATATATAAAAAAAATATTTTGAAATATGTGAAAAGCATATTGATATTATAAATATTTTAATATTTTGTGTTTTTTTTTTTTAATCAACTCATAAGGTTGTCATTAGCAAGATCTTTCCTAATATTTTTAAGTGTACTTTTGACAACTACACTTTAATGATGGGTGATTCTATTTACACACTACAATCTCTCTCAGTTCACATCATACCAAATCTCAAGTTCTTTATTTTTTCTCAAATCACACCATTTATTTTCCAATAATCCCCAAATGTCCTCTTTTTCTCAAAATGACTAACCCTAACCCTAACTCTAACCCTAACCCTAATATAGTCACTGCCATTACTGCCTGCCACCTGCTGCTACCTTCAACCATAACCCAACCCTGTTATGCATTCGACATCCATTCATTGACCTTCATCCACCTTCCAAAACTAGTATTGTCCTTCTCCTAACCCATCCTGCCGCCAAAGCCATCATCTCCATCGCCAATAACGCAAATCGCGACATCGTCCACCACCTACAGCCGCTATCATCATTGTCCACCACCTACTGCCACTGCCATCACCGTCCACTACCCACTATCGCATTCCTTTTGTCCCTCTCTTCTTCTTCTTCTTCTTTTTCTTCTTATTCTTCTCTCGAAACTCTAACCCTAGATTTAGATCCATCGTTGCCATCACTCACCGTCGCTCCCATTCTCTCTTCTTCTTCTTCTTCTTCTTCTTCTTCATTTTCTTCTTCATCTTCATCTCCTGAAACTCTAACCCTAGATTAGATCCACCACCATCGCCATCACCTCCCACCATCAATGCCATATCACGACCTACCGCCACTGCTCTCTGAAAACCCTAGAGAGAGAGAGAGAGAGAGAGCGGGGGTGAGAGATGGAAGAGGAACAGGGCTGGGAGTCACCGGAGATCATGATGGCAGCAGGGACGGTGGTAGTAGAGCAAGGAAAAAAGGAAGATAAGGTGGGCGCGATAGGGTTGGGCAAGGTGCTAGTGGTGGCTAGTTGATGGTGGTGGCCGAAAGGGGTGGTGGTGGATTTGATTTTAGGGTTTTTGTCCAAAATGGTAATTTTATTCAAAGACACAATGATAATTAAAAAAATTAGAAAATGGCGTGTACTGAGAATAATGCTAATGTGTAAATAGAATTACCCTGTAATGATTTGTAATTAATATCATAGAAATTTAACTTGTGTATGTGGGGCAATATTCTTCATGGGTTAATTACATTTTAGTGCTGAAAGTATCCTATTTGTGATATTTTAGTCATAAATATTTGGATTTTGTCAATTTAGTCGCTAATGTATAAAAAAAAAATTACATTTTGGCCTTCCAATTCAACTCCATGAGTAAATGCCATTAAAGTCAAGGATAAGTGAAATTCACTGAAAACATCACTTTTAGTTTTTCTCTTCAAAGTATGTGATGCGTCATTAAAGTGAAAATTTACTTTAAAAATTTACAATTTTAGTATGTGATATGTCATCAATGTAAAAATTTACTTTAAAATTAC